AAGAGACAGCCTTTAATCTGCTTGGAGAATGCTGCCAGTTTTCCTTTATTGCAATAATACTGATTGCTACTATGGGAAAAAAAAGCCCAAACATTTCAATTACTTTGCAGCCAGAATTTTACTATACTGCAGCATGAAACTTTCTGTACTGTATCTTTACAACATTGTCTAGCTGAGTTTAAAGTGGTAGAAGGTGGAGTAACGGTACTCTATAACAGAAGCCGAACACTTTATGATCTCAGTGCTGTTTTAAAACAGAAAGTATGGGGTCATCTTTTTTTCTAAGAAGGAGTAATTTCATAAATGTTTGTTTTTTCCTCTCGTGGCATTTCTCAGGGAGCAATTACTAAACTGCTGAAATAAAATTTGTTAAAATTAAACAAAATGTCAGTTGACAACAGAACAGTTAAAAAAGAACATTCATATGAAAGCAGCAATCAACTTTGTGACAAAACCCCACTAATCAGAGAAGCCACACAAAGGCCTTCCTTGAAAGAATACTTGATATACGTGGTCATTTGCTATCACAGATGATGAACTATTGCATGTCTGCCTAAATAAGGGGAAATGACTTGTAGTACTAAAATTTAGAGTTCTACAGTGTAAATTTCCTGTTCTTCCAAAGTAATTTCTTGTAACTGTACATTTTCTGAAACTCACAAACACAGCCTGTATACAGTATGTTCATAGTATGCTTGAAGAGAGCTAATAATTGGAAGCAATTTAAAATAAAAATTATTAGTTTGAAGCCTGAGTGTTCCACTGAGTTGACCTAAGGATATAAAAGCTTTTAGCACTCTATATAATGGATTTTTAAGGGTCGTTTTTTTTTCCTGGAATTTCTATTAACTTTTTAATTTGTCTAATTACTGACAGTTCTTGTTCAGAGATATTCCTGACTCTATATGACACAAGAATACATTTTAAGATTTTTGATCATTATAATTATATTCATTAAATCCTTGCTGTCAGTTTTTTCTATTTTATATCATCTGCTTTCTGATTGTACCAATAACTTATACTAAAATATTAATGAGAAAAAATGGATGAAAAAGTGTGTGTGTGTGTGTTTGTAAATAAGTTTTGAATTCAAGACCACATACGCCTCATCTAAATTAAAATAGAATTGCAATATTTAGATTGCTGTACAGTAAGCTTTAGATACTATACAAGTGTTTTCATGGGATTTTAATTCCAAAAAGACTTTGATGGCTGTTTTACTTTCTCAAGACAAAAAAGTTTAATATTTTGTTTTGAAATTATTTTAAATGTTTATTAACCATATTTGGCCTTCTAACAGTATGTTTTCTCTTTCAACACAAAATTGCATCAGAAAGTAAAATAATTGTGTTTAGGTTGCTACACTGTTCAAAAATCACTAGACAATGTATTAATAAGGTTTCAGTTGAATGGTTGCCAAAGTAGACATTCAGTATTGGCAAAATCTGAATATTTTAAAACTCAGTCTCAGATAATCAAAGCATTTTTTCTATTCTGACTGTACTTTTCAACAGGACATTTCCACCAAGTGAAAGTATTGGAGTTCCATTTTAAAATTTATTACTTGCTGCCTGGAAGCATAAGATATTGAAGCTAATCTCAAATAACTAATCATATCATTCAAATGCTCAAATACACTCTTAGTATTTAGGTATTACTACTAAGAATGATTATTTTAACACTTTGCATTTTATCAGTACCCAACATATAGTGACACAAGTTTGCTGAACAGTCCTGTTGCAATGGAAACAGATGGGCCTTTAATTGAAGATTTGCAGATGCTGAAAAAGACAGTGAAAGAAGAGGCTTGTCAGGTAAAGCCATGTGAAGATTACGAAGTGCTGTAAATTATGAATTACTTGTTTTTAAGCAACTGTTAATCACAGACTTAAACTTGTGTTGTATTTTTTGCTGTGTAACCTAGAGTAATAAACTTCATTAGAGCTACTTTTAAGTGCTGCTGTAGCAACCAGGAATACAGTGTTATATTTGTAACGCCTGTGAATCTCTGTACGGTCTCTTTTGACATTTCTTCTACAGACACTTTTTTTCACTTATAAATAGCTTCTTGTGTCATGAGAGAAACAATGGGATAGTTAAAAAAATGGCTAAAATCTACCACATCATGTTCTGTTCTCTATATAACAGGTTTGTTTTTTCATGAGGAAAACTTGTATAAAATATAGTCAGATTCTAGTGATAACATTTTTCTTTGTTATTCAGAGCCTTCTTAGTGGCTAAAGCTACTGTGTTTTGAAAAGATGTGTATAGTGTGCATTTGTCTTGCCCAGTCATGGGTTGTCTTCCTCAGTCCACCATCTGTCATGTTCCATTAGCTACTACAGGGTAAGGACTCTCAAAGTCGTTCCAGTCTTTTCATCTTTAGCTAATGCTTAGGAATCTTCAGGTATTTTTAATTTAACTTCAGTTAAGTGGAACTAGAATCCTGACATTCAAACTAGAGATTTAAACCTGGAGCTGATGGAATATGGAAAGGTGCCATGGATCATTGCCATATCACTAAGATACCTGGTAGGAATATCAGGAATATGAATGTCTCCAAATCCAGCAAAGTTTAAGACCAGAGAAATGATCTGGAGCTTGAAAAACAGGTTCAGGTTGGAGATAGTCAGTTAATTTGAACCAGTGTATCAGATAAAAATAAGCATATGGTTAACCTAGCCTTCTACAGTACTTTAACATTCCAGTGTCATTATCCTGCAAGATTATATTTTATTTATTATTTGTATTGTGGTATTTTCATGAAGGTTGCAATCAAAAGAAATGCTGGAATGTCTCCAAAACATGTTCAGTGATTGCTGTTTTTTAAACACTTCTCTCCAGAGCAGAACGCTATGAATTACATGTAAATCTTGGTGGCTGAATTAAAGGCCTATCCAGGGCAATGAGTGGAGAGTAGCATTCCCCTGAATGGGAATGCTGGTGAGAGCTAGTCAGTGAGGAGCACAAGGCTTATCAAAGTTTCTAAGCCTCTGTCTTTTTTCACATCTTGGATAGCTTAGGTAAACCCACATGATGGGGAGAGGGGCCTCCTTTCACTAGCTTCAGAGCCTAGAACCAATTCTAATGGAGAAATGTACATACAAGATTATTGGGGGGGAAAAAAAAAAGTACTGCTTAGAGTTGTGTTGATGGTAGTGTCCATCTTTTAGTAACGATATTTCCTAGCACTTAACCATTTTCTCAAGATTTTAGATGCTGGTTCACTTTTCATCCTGGCCAGAGGGAATTAAAACTCATACCTCCTAATTCTGAGTACTCTAACATTAGTTCTAGAAGAAAAACAGCCAAAGTATGACTGTATACTGGTAGTTGGGACAAGCAGTTAAGAACAGTTTCCAGTCCCAGCTGTTGGAAGTGTTTGAGGATTTGGGCCAGTATTATGCAATATAAAATGCGCAAACTAAAACCAAGGTCTCTACCTAGGTCTTAACCTTTTTTCCTATAAAGAATTCAAGAACTATAATTTTGGGTCTATATACAGACTGTAGATACACTGTATATATAATACACTATATACACTAGTACACTGATATACTCTATATACACTGATAGCATTCCATCTGGAAAATGAGTACTTGGCATTTCTGTGGATGAGCTTGATTTCTCTCCCCCAACATTGTTAGAAGGGGTGGGGAATGAAATAGTGATACTAACAGAAAAGGAACAAATTGTAAACTAAATAAAATTCTGAAACTTGGGTTGGAACTGTTCAAGCATTCTTTAGCCATCTCTCCAAGCGCATGCTTTTCTGCTTTTCCTTGCTCCAGAAGTGTTCAAGGAGTAAATGAGATGATAGAAGGTTATTATAAGCCTGTTTTTCAAAGGTCCTATCCTTGTGGAGCTAACAGAACAGTTTGAAACAGGAATTCTTATTACTAGGAAAACTTAAAGTCTGTGAGAAGTGTAAATCTTGCAAAAGGATTGATAAGTCTGGGTCATCAGGCAGGAAAAGGATTGATTAAGGACTAGTGTATTGCCAAAAGAAAGGTAGGTAGCATTCTTGCATTAGTCTTTGAGGGGACATTGGAAAGACACTTGTGGTATCCCTTGCTAAAATGAGGTATTACAGTTACCAGGGGTTTGGTTTTTTGGTTTGTTTTGGGGTTTTTTTAGAAAAAAGGCAAGTCAGAAGGACAGCTTATTTTTATTTTTTAAATAAAATTTTGGAAGTGAGGAACTATGTAAAGATCTATACAGTTTCAGTGAAAGTAAGGTTTATGCCAGAGGTTAGCAATGTAGCAGAATGTCCATACTGAAGAGATCATGGAACAACTGAGGAACATAGACTGTACCAGACTATGCGAGCACTTATAGTGAATACTATTTGACCACCATTACTTACTAACTTTTTGAACATGCTAGTAAATCAATGGCTAAGTAAAAGCCAATCAGTTTTTATAAGGTCTTTTTTATAGAAGAACATTAATAAACATCATTGATCTAAGAGGCAAATGAGGGTAGGTAAGACAGACATGGGAACTATATAAAGACACCATTTTGCAGTTTAAAGGTACTGTGATAGGAATAATGTTTGGTTTTGAGAGAGCGTCAGTAAAATAATACAGCAGAACCTTAAATTTTCAGATATATGAGTAGTGCAAATAATTATAAGCATGGAAAAAACTTGAAAGCATTTCTCTTACACGTAGAGACATACGAAATGAAAAACAAGTGAGAAGATAGATAATTTTATTTTTTAAAATGTCAAATGATAATGATGGTAGTAATGTCATGACTGGTAATGGCTTAGAGCTTGTTTCTGATTTTTCTTCTTAGCAAAAAAAATTGTTTCAAGACTTGAAACCTGGGTAGCTGGTGGGATAAAGAGAAGAAAGTATAAGCTACTTCCCATATATTTTTTTTATTTCCTTTACCACAAGTGAAGATACTTATTTGCAATAAATATTTTTATGTAATTGCTTAGTAATTAAATATTTTGGGCCCACTTTGTTCTATTTTTATTTCAGGCACAGAAAGATCAGAAAAAAGATCGTCCTCTTGTGCGACGCAAGTCAGAACTGCCTCAGGATATCTATACCATGAAAGCCTTGGAATCACATTGCAGAGCTGATGAATTAATATCACATGATGGGCATTAAACTATTACAGTGATATATTATTTTGGAGGAAAAGTTTTTTTCTGGACTCAGTTCTACAGTAGAACTTACTTTTTTGTGCCATACCAATCAGTTACACAGGAAGTCAAAGCTTTCTTCAACCCAGTTCTGTAGGCAATAACTTTAATAGAGTATGCAGCTCAAGATTAGTAGTTCAAACAATGGTAAATTACGGAATTCCGTATGCAGAATATTGGGTCAACTATAATCAAGTGGACACAATTTCCTGGAGGTGTTATCATAGTACCAGCTAGCTGATAACATGCAGTTTTTATAATCACGTTTAAAAAAAGCATTCTATACACTCTTTACATCTAAAAAAGTAAATGACCAATAGTTGGTACTAAGGATAAATTAATGTTTTCAAAATAAAAATTATTTCAAATTTCGGTATTAAATTTTTTCTAGGATTTCTCAACTTTACAGTTGTTTCCACATTATTGCTGTCTTGTAATATACCAGCAGTTTTGAAAATACACAGTTATTCTTTCGTATTATAAAACATGGCTTACAAACTGGTAACTTTCATGACAATCCTCAATCATTGTTCCTTTCTAAGAATTGTGTAAATTTATTTCTCCTTTACTTAGGATAAAGTTATATATCTATATATACCATGTCCTAATACTTTATGTATATTTAAAGCCATATTTTCCAGTCTTCAGTATATAATACGGCACCAGTATTCCAGATATGAACTGGTAGAAGAATTTTTCCTAAAATGAAAATTTGTTTACTACGACTGGGAACAGACTGAATATAAAATTGCATTTTAAGTTTTTTCAAGTGAATAAAATACTCTTTCACTGTTTTCTCCCTTATCTGAGCTTTTAATACTCAGCATTTTTCTTGGGCTCTAGGAGTTCAGTATTCTGTGGCAGATGTTATGCGTGATTTCAGTTGCATCAGTTTTTATCTGAAAGATGAACTTAACCTTTCAGGAAACTCAACATCACAAACTTATTAAAATAAGAAAAAGAACAGCAGACCCTTGAATTCCATTCTGCTTCTTTTTAAATTAGTCTAAGAGCTGAGGAGATAGTGACCATAATTTTACCATGAAGATATTTTTTGTTGTTGTTGTAAAGAGCACATGTGCTGCAAATACACCTCACAAGTGAACTGAAAATGCATCTGAGTTGCTGATGATCTTCAAATGCTGCTATATATTCCACAAGATTACTTGCATGTAATGAGCTTTTTGTTGTAGATGGAAAAGCACGGGAGGAAAATCTCTTTAAAAATATAGTGCTTTGTCTTCAATATTTGATTTCTCTCAGGGTGGCCAGTATTTTGACTTACTTATCCTGCTTACAAGCTGTTTGAAATGTGTTCTGCTATTCTAAATGGGTGATTAGTTTCTTTTGTCTCTGGCAGTAACATGATATAACTTAATGTTTAATGTCTTGATGCATAAAGAGATAAAAATGTGGCTTCTTTAAAAATAGTTTTGTTTTACTTTTTAAGGAAGTATAAGGTCTCCTGCATCCATTAAAAAACAAAAATTGCCGCAAAGCAGACATTCGTAGTAACCTTGTGCAGATGTAGTACCTGCTGTTTGTTGGTTGCATTTAACATTAAATTTCCAATATTTGTTACTTTGTCTATTGGAAGAAAATTGTGGGTGGTAAATATTGGCTTACAACAACTAAATCTAAAGACCAACCCGACCTTTAAGTGGAATGTCCACTGTGTCTGAAAACATTTCCTGTAAAACTTGAAAAAGAATACGCTTTACCATTAGGATAAACTATATTAAAACAGTTTAAAGATGCCTTCTCCTTTTGAGGGAAAAAGGGTGCTTTTTTAATTGTGTAAAGCAATGTCTGTGTATTTTGATATACCATTGTTTGAACTTCCATCTTTAGCTGGTAGATTATCAGTTACCTTTGATTTTGGGTGTTCAGTATGTTTGTGCAAGAGATTGCTGAAAGGAATTATTCTTATGTTACCCAAGGGAAAAAAAAAAACCAACCACACCTGTATATCAATGTTTGGTTGATTGTGTGACGCTCAACGTATAAGAACATCTTTCACTGTCTAGATTTTATTTCTGTTCTTTATTGAAGATAAACACTCACCAAAAAGGGAAATGGTATTTTTAAAGACTTAAAAGTTCCCCATAAATTCGTATTTGAAGTTTTGGACCACTGAATAACTATTTGCTTAGGCAGTATTCCAAAATCTGTCACCACTAATGGTTTAGCATGTTTATTATCAATATTTATATAATTCTTATAATCCTGTACTGAACCGTTCTAAACCTAATACATCCAAGATAAAAAGAAAAATTGAAGTAGAATTTTGGTGACTGTTGTTCTTCATAAAGTCCTGTGTCTGACACCTTCCCCTGTTTTCCAAAATTAACCTGTACATCAGGAATGTCAAAAGTAATATTACAAGTGTCTTTTTAGTGTGGCTTTAGTATGGCTTCATTTTAATATTGTACATACATTGTACCTTGTTTTATGGTAATAAGTAATAAAAATGTAGACTTCATATTTTGTACAGAATCGTCCTATGTACAGAATAAAAAGTTCCTAGAAACAGCAAAAATAGGTAAGTGGCACAATTATTTTTCATTAGACAATATCTGTAACATTATGCGTTAGTGGAATGTTAAGTTCAAATGTACCTACATATTTTTTAAACATTTTGTAATTCAGTTTTTTGTTCTGGCATTGTTTCTGAAGAACTTCATACACCTGCCATTTAATATGCTTTTATCTAATTTTAAAACTTAAAAAAAAATGGTGTATTATATGGACAAATAAAGAACATGTGAATTTTACTTGCTCATTATGAAACTAAATTTAGCACAGGGCATTGGGGGGGGGGGGTTTTCAGATTATCACTGTTTGCAGAATCTTCTCTACAAATTAAAATAATTTCACAAATTTCACAAAACCAAGAAAATATTTATGGAAAGACCATTAGTAAAAAAAACTGGAATAATGGATATTCAGCACAAAAAGCAGATTTAACTTTTAGAACAGCTGTCAGTGCTAAAAGGAATTTGATAAGTCTCCAATCTACAAACTGAAAGACGCATCTTTCATACCATAGTATTTTCCCCTGTAACACTTTGATGGGCTTCAAGCAAAGTAGCCATAAAATAGGGGATTATAGCATGGTAGATGATACGTGGTTGGGTGGCAAGGATGTAGGAAAAAAACTTAAGTCTGCAGGAAGAGTTGTCCTCTCTCTGGAATCCATAAAAAGCCCCAAAAGAACTAAGGAGATTACATAAAGTTGACTTTCAATAAGGGGGGG